CAGAAGTTGATGCCTCTGCAGCGGTGGCTGGCCATGGTCTTCGCGATGGGGCTCCTCGCCGCCTGGGCGGCACACGAGTGGTCCGACCACGCGGAACGGGGAGAGTCCTCGATCGGATCGTCGTCGGCCTCGAGGATGGTCGTTGGTCACGCCTCGTCCGGGTCGTCGCCCTGGCCATCAGCCTCGCCGCCTCCTATGGTGGACGCTGCCGTGTTGGCTCAGCTGAGCGACCTCGCGGAGTCCCAGAAGGCCATGATGGAGGAGATCAGCGAGATGGGGGCAGCGGAGCGGACGCGAGAGCTGCGTCGGGGCGTGCTGGAGTCGTCCCTCGAGTCACGGGATCGTGCCGCGGAGGAGGCCAATCGCCAGGTGATCGAGAGCATGATCGCCCGTCTGGACAAGTTCGAGGCTCGCTTGAAGGGAGAGGCGCCCGCCGAGGTGAGCGTCGGAGATCGGTTGGCTTCGATCGAGGGTTCGGGAACTGCGTCGTCGGGCGGCGTGACCATGGGTTCGCCGACGGCGCCCCAGAGGCGGTGGAGCTGGCCATCAAAAGGATGAGGTTCAAGGCCCAGCTGCCGCACGGAGCAGTTGAGGGACTACCAAGAGATCCCGCCGGAGGAGTGGAACAGTCGGATGCCCGAAGGGTATCGTCAGCGGATATCCTCGGAAGTGCTGTCGGAGATCTATTCTTCGGGGAAGACGGCGGAGGCGTGGGCTCGGGACTTCATCCGGGATTGTGGTTTGACGGAGTGCAGCACGGCGCGGGAGATGATCGCGGCGTTCGCGGCGGCGGACGCGATGCTGATGACGGATCGTCAGAAGAGCCTGATGGATCTGGTGAGCGACCCCACCCCACAGTACGGCGCTAGCGAAAGCGCGGCCTGCTGTCAGGCTGCGGGACGTGCGAACCGCGAAGCGGTCAGATGCGGGCCCTCAGAAGACGATGTTGATGCCGGCGATGGCGGTCACTTTTGCCGCTGCGCTGGCCTCGCGCTCCTTCCGCCGGCGCCCAGCTGGGCGCCATGCGGGCCCCTCCTTCCGCCACGCAAAGCGGGCCTCGCCGCCGGCGCCGTTGGACACCATGCAGGGCAAAGCCCAGGGCGGGCGGGCAAAAGAGGGCCCTTGTGGGCCCTGGGAGGGCTTCGAGCCCCGAAGGCTTGAGCGGGAAAGAAAGGGGGAACGAGAGCAGCAGAGGCAGGGGCAGGGGGAAAGAGGAAACCCAAGCCGACTGGGGAGGGCGGGGTCCAACCGTTCAGGTCAAATAACTAAGACCCCGCCCCCGCAGTACGGCGCTAGCGAAAGCGCGGCCTGCTGTCAGGCCGCGGGACGCGCGAGCCGCGAAGCGGTCAGATGCGGGCCCTCAGAAGACGATGATGATGCCGGCGATGGCGGTCACTTTTGCCGCTGCGCTGGCCGCGCGCTCCTTCCGCCGGCGCCCAACTGGGCGCCCGGCGGGCCCCTCCTTCCGCCACGCAAAGCGGGCCTCGCCGCCATGCGTTCCAGCGGTGCTGGCCGGCTGCTGCCTGCGATGCCGCGCGCTGGTCTGGCGGGCCATGCGCGTCAGCATTGCTGCGGGGGCGCCGTGAGGTGGCGCCGTCAAAACTGGGTGCCAGGCTGCATGCGCAGCCGGCACCATCTAGACTCTGGAGCTGCGCCGCAGGCAGTGCCTTTGCCGGTGGCGCGAGCTGCTCGGGGCGCGCACAGCCGGGCGCAGGCGCCGGCGCGCGCGGGGGGCCCAGCTGGCCCATCATGCCGGCCGAGCGCCGCCAGGCAGCTGATGCCGGCGCGCTCGGCCGTCCGCCGCAAGGTCTAGGCCGGGGCTCACGCCGGCGCACTGATTGCTGGCGGAGCCCAGCCTCGGGCCAAGGCCCGGGCATGCCGCGAGTGGCGCCTGGCTGATGCCGGCGCCACGGCGCCCGCAGCGCGCGCTGTGGCCGCGCAGTTATCCCGGCTCTCCGCCCCCCCTGGGCGTCCGGGGCGGGCAGGGTCCGGCCCCTGATGGAGGGGGTTCCCCGGGCCAGCGCTGGCGTGCGGGCCCGCGCCCGCGCGCCTGAATTCTGGCGCCGCTGGCTGCGCTGGGCTGCGGCGCCGGCAGCTGTCGCGGCCCGCGCTGGCTGCAGCGCGCCCGGCGCGACCAGGCTCGACGAGGAGAGCCGGCGCGCCAGGCGGGGGCCCAGCACGGCCCCTGTTCGGCGATTGCAGGGGGCGCCCACCGTAGCCTGGGCGCTGGTGGAGCCCGAAGCGGGCAAGCCCGCACGCGCATGACAGCGCGGAGGTATTGGCTGGCGCTGGAGGCACAGGCTGAGGATACCCAGCGAACGCACGGCTGACATGCCGGCGGCGCGGGTGGTAGCTGAGCTGCACTGTCCCAAAGCACGCTCGGCGGCCATGCCGGCGGCTTGGGTTGGGCGCACGCCAGGTGTACTTGCACCAGCGGCGCCCCGCCGCAGCCCCTCGTCATGGGCTCTCACGCCTGGCGCTCTCGGCGCCAGCGGCGGCTCTGGCGGGTGCACTGTCTCTCTGGAGACGCCCTTCATCATCGGCTCGTGCGACTCCCACAGGTAGCCGTGGAGCGCATCCGACTGCCAGCGCCCGAACCGGCGCACCTGGGAGAGGTCCTCCGTCACGTGGTACATCGCAGTCGCCCCGCCGATCCTCGGGGAGTGGCTGCCGATTTCCTCCCTGGAGAGCCCGGCGGCCAACCCCGCGACGGTCAGGAAGTGCTGCACCTCGGTCCTGCGAATCAGAGTACCTGACGCCCAGCGGAAAATGGGCAGCCGTTCTTCGGTGCCCTTTATCCGCTGGGGATGCTGAGCCTGGAGCCGCTCCATCGCCGCGATCGGGCAGAGCGACGTGCCGGCGCGGTAGTGGTTCCTCACCGTCCCGACGTTGAGCTGGTCCGTCTTGCTGCCCTTGATGTAGATCACCATCTCGTCGGCGTCCCGGAAGTTGGGCACGCGCTTGCCGGCCCTCCTAGGGTCTACGTCCTCCACATGCAGCACGCGCTCGAAAGACCACGAGCGCCCGCCCTGGAGGAGGTACTCCGAGGCCCGAAGGAGGAAGAAGGAGGCGATCACGATCGCCGCCCAGATGACCACCGCGTCCTCCTCAGGGAGCTTGGCCTCCAGCTGGAGGAAGCCGCGGAGCCACTCGAGCATGGCTGGGGTGACTGGCTTCTTCCGCTTAGTCTCAGGCCCTTGCCAGCGTTTGAGCCCCGCTAGGGTGCTCCAGAGCCGGCCCCTGTGGAGCAGGGGGCCCGAGTAGCCAGCCACCAGGTGTGCGTAGCGGACCGCGAAGGGCTTTTGCTTAATGGCCCCCTCTGTCCCCCCGACGACTCGAGCGAGAAGGACGGCGAAGTTGATGAGCGCCTCCTCGTCGGCGAGGCGCTCCTCACGGTCGCGCCCAGGGAGCCAAGGGCTAAGCCCCTGCGCCTGGCGCACGGCCACCCAGAGTCGCCAGCCGCCCTCGTAGCCCGCTCTCGTGCCTTCGCTGAGTTGTTGCAGCATGGCTTCCATCTTCTGCTGTGCGAACCAGCTGGCGTAGCCCGCTCCGCCTGACTCAGCTCGGCCGGCGGGGGCGAGCTCCTTCCCGGGGTTGTTGCTCTTCCTCGCGGTGCCCAGCGCCTGCGGCTT